GATTGTTGAAATATGGTAACCCTATTAGAGACTGAACTCTGGGTCTCCAGCTACTTTCTGTGGGAGTTGGGGGTTTTGTAGGCACTGGAGAAGGGTAATGAAGTGAACTCTAGCCCACCCAAAGGTTACAAATTGCTCACCCTCAGGGAGTGTGACCCGAGCAACAGGGAACCTATGGGAGCAGACCCAAAACTACACACCCAATTCCAGAAGCTTCTGGATTTGGAGTGCTTAATCTGCCTAGCAACAGTGATGCTTGGGGGAAATGTTTTCTATATGTAAATAAAGGAAATGCTCCTGACTGGAAAAAAAATAATAATGACCCAGACACAGCTCACTCCTACCTCCCCCCAGTGGGTCTCTTAAAGAGATATCTCCCTATTAGGCACATGGGTTACACACGCAAGGTTTCAGAGCGCACTTACAAACCAAGTGAGTGTCGCTGCTGTGCCGCAGTCCACAGCATCCCTAACCCCTGTGCTGGGCGTGAGTGAAACATCCCCTAGGCTGGGGACCTGGTCTGGCACGTTTCTTAGCTCAGCTGAGTGACTTGCTTTTTTTAAACGCACAGGTTTCAGAGCTGTTTGCTCCGGGGGGATACTGGCTCAGGGCACACAGGCACACACACTTAGGGAGCAGCTCTGCTGCCATAATGACTCTCAAGTGCATGCTCCGCAGGTCCGTGAGGCACACAGCTACTCTAGTTTGCATTCGCACAGCTAGGTACCCATGTGCACTGCTACCCAGTGGGAAAATCAGCCCCTTCTGTTTCAGGCCCAGCATGCCTCTGCCAGTTCAGGAGTGTTTCATTTAGGTGCACAGGAATTACACCAGGTCAGAACCATAGACTCGTAGGCCTGGAAGGGACCTCGAGAGGTCGTCTAGTCCAGTCCCCTGCACTCCTGGCAGGACTGAATATTATCTAGACCATCCCTGACAGTGTTTGTCTAACCTGCTCTTAAAAAATCTCCAATGATGGAGATTCCCCAACCTCCCCAGGCAATTTCTGTCAGGGTGGTTAAGCACTGGAATAATGTCCAACCTAAACCACCCTTGCTGCAATTTAAGCCCATTGCTTCTTGTCCTGCGCTCATGTAGGGAGCCGACCGAGCAGCAGCTCACAGGTGGTGCTCGCACGCCCTGGACACACCTGCGTCGGGAAGAGCTCAGGCCCCAGGGCGCTCCCCACACTTACTCTCCAGAGCGGCCGTGCAGCCCTGCTCCCTGAGCTGTTCTTCGTGAACGGAAATGGCGCGCCTGGTGGCCACGTTTTTCAAACGAGGCTTGGGTTTCAGGCAGTTGTCTGAAAAGAAGAGGAGACACTGTCACAGAGAAGCAGCTGCCTCTAGTGGAGCTTGCTAGGTCACTCTGCTGCTTCCAGTCCCCCCTCCGGGGGATTCAGCGCCTGGGTCACGCTAACATGGCAGCCTGGCTTTCCTTTTGCTGTGCCACAAACAACCCCCTCTGAGCCCGCTCCAGCTGCATGAACAAGCTGCCCCTGTGCATGGGTGGGAGCAACTAGGGAACCCGCCCACTCCAATGCGTGCAAACCAGAACTGAATCCAGCTGGCAGGGCTGCTGCTGAGGCCTTTCTGGGACCGATGCAAAGGGAGAAACAGCCAGGACACGGCCCCGAGCCAGCCAGTCCCCATGCACCCACTGCGAACGGGTTTGGACTGCCCCCGCTGGCAACACGTGACTCTAGTCTACTCCATGTACAGCCAGGGACCGAGCCCAGCCCTGCTGCCTGTAGGGCCCAGCAGCTGCTCTACACACACAACTGGCACCCAGTAAATCAGGTTTCAGGTTCATTTACCTAACTTCACTTAACAGGAGTAGAAGTGGCCACACAGGGCCTGGCCTATATCCAGCGTTACTGCAACCAGTGCCAGCACCGTGCGTGGACAGGGCCTACAAGAAGGGGTTGCTGTTTTTATGCCCGCCCAGCCCCAGCAGAGGGAGCTAGAGTCTATCGGGACTTGTGCAGCTCCAGAATTGTTTGCCGGGGGCCAGTCCGTTAGCCCTTTGCAGAGACACTGCTGGCCTGGGTATCACTAGGGACCTGGACTCTCTGCTTCCAGGCTGCGGCTGATGGGCCAGCAGTCACCAAACCCAGCATTCTCCTTATTAACTGAGCACCCGATGCCACACCAAACCCAGCAGCCCAGAGCAGCACTGAACGCCCGTGTTTCTATGCTGACGCTGAGGCAAGATGCACCGGCTGGTGAAGCGTTTCTGGCTCAGGAGGCCAGAGTAGCACACTTTGGGGCCTGGTCTGCGCTTAAAATGTAGGTCACGAGAGCCACCTGGCTCAGGGCTGAGAACAATCTGCATGTGTGAGCGACACAGCTCTGCTGCCCTACTCCTAGGAGAGAGACAGTGGGGTTGATGAGCGACTGCTTCTGTCAACCTCACTACCATTGCTCGAGCTGTCTCTGCACTGGGGGGTTACTGCTACAGGCCCCAGAGCACAGCAGCCTGGAGGCACTGCGTGGCACTGTTAGAATGGCGGGGGGGGGAGGGGGGGGAGTTAGGGGCAGGAGCAAGGTGCAACCTTGTCCCTTTTTAGTTACGGGGCTCTGTCCTTGGCCGACCCGAGGCCTGGCACAAGTGAGAGAACCAGACACAGCCCAGGGGACAGGGGTGCAGGGAAAGAGGAGTGCTCAAGCCCACAGGCCATCCTGCCTCTTGGCAGGTCGATGGGAGAAGAGAACCGTGACCAGGAAGAATCTGGATCCAATTTGGTGGTGGTGCAACTCCCACGGACACGCCGAGGGAAGAATTTACAGGGGCCGTTATTGCTGGAAAGTCATTTGCCTGCTCAGCTGGAACAAGAACAGTGATTGTTACCTGCCTGCGGGAAGCACTGGCTGAAAGCAGAGCAGGACGGGCCACAGACCCACTGTGGGGCCCAGTCACAAGTCAGCCAGGGACCAGCTGGAATGCCGGGCTGAGACAGGAACTCCCAGCACAGGCACCTCCCTCCTCACCAAACTCACCCAGCACTCACGCGCCTTTGTGCGTAGGCTTCCCCTCTGCTGGTGCAGACATGCTCCGCCCCTCTGTCAGCCACCCTGTGCCTCCCCCACACTGCATGTCCCAGCCCTGTGTCCGCCCCTTCCCGCTGGCTACTGGACACAGCTGGGTGTCCATGTGCCGACATCTCGGGTTGTGTTTACCAAGTGAGCGGGAGTGGAGCCAGAGGGAGCAGAGCTCTCCTGAGCCGGGCCTGCGGCAGGGCACCACCGGGGAGCCCTCAGCTCTGTGCCGCGGTCAGGATCTAGAACCCCAAGAGCTAGAACTCAGACACTAGAACCACGTACTTTTTAATTCACCCCACAGCTGTCCAAAGGCTTGCTCGGTCCCACACTGCCTCGGGCTCTGCTTAGGGCAGGCAGGACACAGGAAAATCCCAGGATGGCGCTACCTGCTCTGGCACCCCAGCCAGTTCCTACTCCCTGAACTTCTAGACTCGGGCCCTCAACGCAGGCAGAATTCCATTCTTCACTGAGCCCCCCGGACGTCTCTGCTTCACCGCCCCCACGCCCCGTACCTGCAGCGATTGCATCGACGCTGTCCCTGCTAGCGCCTGCGTTGCTGATTCTCCTTGGGGCAGGGGCAGGCGTGACCCTCCCGGTCCTGGGCAAGCTGCTGCTCCAGCTCTCTCGGACCTGCTGCTCCGGGGGGCTGCTCTGCTCTTGAAGGACAAAGGAGCGCCTGGGGGAAGAATGGAGTTCAGAACACTTGCCCTTGAGCTCGGCATTCAGCTGCTTCCCCAGGGCCTTCCAGGAGCGCCGCACGTCGCTGGGCCCGCGGCTGGGCTCGGCCGCAGCTCGGCCCGCTGTGTCGGCAGGGCCGCTTCGCGCAGACGGGTCTGAATGGGAAAGCAAGGGAGAGACGTAAGTTGGCCCCACTCCTGGCTCAGTGGGTCAGCAGAGGGAGGCAGGCTCTGCTTTCCTTGCCCTGGCTGTAGTACAGGCTGTTGTCCCAGTAATACCAGCCTCACATCTTCAAAGCACTACCCCTCGCGACCCGTCGGAGGAATACACTCCTCCAGGAGGAGCCTGGGGGCGTGCCAGCTCCAGCCAGCCTGTACGAACCAGTGCGGGATTCTTCCTGAGGGGCTGCAGCTGCCTCGAGCCCGTGGAAAGCACAGCTCCCTTTCTAGCACCCAGTCACCATTGAAAGTCACTATAGCCCCTGCTCTGCCCAGCGTGACGGCAGCGCACGCTCCACGCACGGGCTGCGCTTGCCAAGAGAAGGGCCCAGTCCTGCCTGCACACCCCCACTGCCCTCACTGGCGTCTCACGGGCCTGTTTTACACAGGACCTGTTCTTTAACTTCTCTTTCCTGGGAAGAGAGATTTCAATATTGTGGCCTCTAGTGCTAGTGATGGGTGAAATGGCCTTCCTGGGTTTCATCCACCATCAATGCAGCCACATTGGTCTGTGAGGGGGATACGGAGGCAGAGAAGGCATCCCCACGGGGCAGCCACCAACCCCCAGCCACAAGCTAAGTGCTCTGGCCTAGGGGCAATCAGCCGAGTGCCCCCAACAAATGTGGCTGGGCATGTCCTGTAGGGCTGGGCTGCGGTCCACACACAACCCCACGGTGCATGGCTGGGAGGAGCAATGGGGGGACCCTATTTTCCAAAGGGTGGCTTTAGCCTCTCATCCCCCAGCATGTGGGAGCTGGGGGTACAGCCCCAGATAGCTGTGTGTGACAGGAGCAAGTCTGGGCTTCCAGCCTGTCCTGGCAGAGCGGGTCACGTTGTCACCTGTCTGCGCCCGGCAGGGCAGGCTCCCCCCCACCCCCCGTCTGGTGCTCCCAGTGGGACGGCTGGCACTGAGCGTGCTGCCCCTGCTCGGCCCACACAGCCCTCCCCTGGAGGACCCCGTGCCTGTGCCCATGGCCGCTCCCACCCACCGCCAGAAGGCGCCCGCGAGGAGAGACCTACCTGTGGACATGGAGTGTGTGCGAGATTTCAAGACGAGGGGAGGGGAGCCCGCCGAGCTGTCCATGATGTCTCCTGGAAACACAAACATCCGCATTCAGGGAGCAGCACTGAAAGCTCAGCTCTCTCCTGCCCCCCCCCCCCACGCACTTGTGGGGTTGAGCCCAAGGAAGGATCTGTGAAGCCGCTGGGCTGAAAGCAACTGACGGCCCTGCTCTGACAGGGCCTCTAGAAATGGGCTCTGTGCTTAATGGCCCCCAGGGCCCCGCAGCCAGCAGGCTCTGTGTATAGGTAAGACGTGAGGGTCCCTTTGCTGCCAGCCCTGCAGGCTCCCCGGGGATGTGAGTAGGGTTGCCAACCCTCCAGGTTTGGCCCCGAGTCTCCCGGAATCGGCATCGGCCTATTGAAAGCAACCCGGGAGATTTTAATGGGATATTTTAAGAAAATGACATTGTCATGTTGGGGGAAAAAAATCTCCCAGAATAGCTTCAGTCAGAGTTGGCAACCCTAAATGTGAGCCAAGCCAGGCTCTTGCCTCTCACACATTGGTCCCAGTACTAAAGATCCTGCAGCGCCCCCTACTCCTCGTCCACACAACCCCCCCGCACCTCCCCTCTGGTTGTCAGTGGATTTGCAAGGAGGTAACTGCAGGGTAGCAAATAATTCTATTCTTGCTCCATGAAAGGAAATCACCTCCAGCGCCCCCTCCCGTGGCTGGGCTGACACAAGTAATCTTAGCACTTGGCTATATGAGAAGTTGGGATGCAGCAAGATCTGGAATCACTAGACAGCCACTAGCTACTCCCCACTACAGTGAGCTGACCCCCCCCATCCCTCGCGGACACACCTTAGCTTGCTGCTCACTAACGTCCCTTGTAAACAAGCCCTTAGAGCAGGGGTTCTCAAACTGGGGGTTGGGGCCCCTCGGGGTCATGAGGTTATTACATGGGGGGGGGTCGCGAGCTGTCAACCTCCACCCATAGACTTTAAGGTCAGAAGGGACCAATATGGTCATCTAGTCTGACCTCCCGCATGATGCAGGCCACAAAAGCTGACCCCCCCACTTTCCCTTACCCCAAACCCCGCTTTGCCTCCAGCATTTATAATGGTGTTAAATATATAAAAGGTGTTTTTAATTTATAAGGGGGGGTGGCACTGAGAGGCTTGCTTTAGGAAAGGGGTCACCAGTACAAAAGTTTGAGTCACTGCCTTAGACACAGCAGCTGGGACTGGGACCTGGGGGAGCAGATCTGGGCTGTAAGGAAGAGCTTTGAGAGTTTTCAAACACAGGCACTGCTAAAAGCAGAACTGCACCTTAAACCCTCCATGGACTGCAAACCTCTCCCTTCCAACCTTGCCCTATGTCTTAGCAAGAGCCAGGGGGCTGGCCCCCAATAACCCAGCTCCACAGCCACGCTGCCGCTAGGAGCGCTCAGGTGCCAGATCCCCTGGAGAGTCAGCCCGGGAGCCTGAGTGCAGAGGGGATAACTGAGGAATGGGTTTACCTAGCTCCAGGGAAACATTGACCTTAAATACTGTGGTGGGGGAGGGAAACGTGGGACCTGGTTTTCAGAAGCACTGAGCAGCCCCGTGCTCGCTGGCTTTGGTTGGAACTGTGCGCTCAGGGGTGTGATGTGTGATCAGGCACTGGACCCACTACGGGGAGCGGGGAGCTGGCCCTCCGCTAGCGCCTCACAGCTCGGCTGAGGCCTGCACTGGGCCTTTACACGGGCATTATACTACACAGTGCCTTTAAACCACTCCAGTTACACAGGCTAACCGCCCCCACGGGGGGACAGGCTGGTGTAAGGGGCCTTTTTGCTGGTTTAGTTTATGTCACTTGGAAGAGCCACACCAAACCCAAGCCTTCCGCTGGTGTAAGTGTGTCCACACGGGCCAGTCGACTGGTGCAGCGACAGCACAGCTCCATGTGACGACGTGGTCACACCTGGCTGCACGCTCTCCTAGCAGGTAGTTCAGACTCCTGCCATCAGGCCTTGGTGCAGAGCCAGGGATTTCCCCCCGCCCGGCTGGCACGGCTGGAGTGCAGCGTATGACCCCTCCCGCCTCTGGCGGACGGGCTACTTTTCAATTTGCCTGCGTATTTTTATGTGGGATCTTGCCTCCTCCTGCACCAGGGGAGTTACCAGCTGCTCAGTTTGGGAATGTTGAGCTAGCAGGTGTGTGCTTCTTCCCCTGGGAATGCCATAGGGACTGGCACATTGGGATTGCCCCCCACGGACCCCAAGGCTGGGCACAAAGTTACACACATGGCCGGGCACGGCTCTTCTCTGGCACTTTTCAGCATTTGCTTTCAAGGCGTGTTTACACAGGAGCTCAGTATCATTAGCTCCAGTTTGAAGTTGGGGAACTGAGGCTCGGGGGGGTGAACTGACTGCTCCTGTTGCTGGGCAGGTCAAGAGGAGTTCTGCCCCTGGCTTTAGGGGAGCAGGCTCTGGCCCTTAGCTGGCAGCAGGCCTGCAGGATCTCACGCCCTTTCCAGCTGTTTGTAAATTCTGAGCCCCAGGACACAATTCGCCAGAGAGCTGGTCACTTTTCTATCTGACTGGTTCGAGGTGGAAAATGCCTTTTTGACCAACACAAAAGCGTTTGGAATCATTAAAAAAAAAAAGTAAAAAAAAAAGGGAGTTTTGAATCCAAATTTGTGTTGCCTGGGCCCAGAGTCTGCCACGCTGGCTCTGGCCAGTACTGGAGATGTCAGACGTGGAACCCCTCCCCCGGAATGCCCCCGGCCTATTGCAGAGAAGGGGGAATTCCTGCCTGTCTCCAGCTGGAGAGCTGATCTGCCCGGCCCTCCACAGGCCGACTCCAGCGAGGAGTAAGCCTAGACCTCTACAGGAATTGCCAGACCCCTGAGGATTGGTAGAGGAATCACCTATGGACCCAGCCTGCTTCTGTGCTGGGATTGGAGAGCACAGCGTCCCGGCAAAGCTGGCAGGAGTAGCCCTTACAGAAGGGATCTCCCCCATTTCATCTCTGCTGCTCCGCTGTGCAGCTCCCCAGGGCGCTAGCGTCGGCAGCCACTGCTGTTTGAAGCACCATGTTGTCTTAGAGGAGGGCTACCCACCACGGGGGTTACCACACCACTGCCTATCCTAGCATTCCCGCTGCTGCTGCCGCCACTGCCCCCTCCAGCGTAGCAGTGACTGGAGCAAGGGAGGCAACTTTGGGGACAACATCCCAGTGCAGACCAGGTCAGTGGGACATTCAGGAATGAATGATGGGGCTGGCCCTAGGATATTCAACTGGCCAAGACCTCGCAGGGAAAAGGGCTTGCAATTCCGGGCAAGGCAAATAACGGCAGCTCTTCCCCAGGGCGGGAAATGCTGCTTGCATATGTTTTTAATGGGTGGTTTTTGTGGCGTGCCTAGCATCAATCTGCACCAAGCCCTGCCAGAGACCTTCTGGGCCCTGACACCTGCTCTGAGCTCCTCCAGCCTGGCCTGAGACCCAACTGCCCTGATAAAGACTGGCAAGAGATAGGATGCATCCAATGTCACTTACCATCTGAACCAGCTTTTTTGATCTCTCCTTCTTTACTCTGCAAAACAAACGGAAAGAAAACCCCATCACGGGCAGAACCTCCTGCTAAAACGTCCCCTCCCGCACGAGGGCGCCTGGAACTGCTGATGCTGCTAACCGGAGGCTGAACTACAGGGAGGAAATGAAGACAGGGACAGCTGAGGCTGAACGGGAAGGAAATCCCCCATGACTGTAGCAGAGACTTCCTGGACACAACACCGGTTGGGACATTTCCAACTAAACTGGCCAAAGCATCAGCAAACCCGCCCTAGGAAACCATCCTGCCTGAGCCTGGGGATGCAACCCGGACGGGACCTGGGGGAACATTCCCCAGCAGCTCATTTCCATGATCTTCACCTGAAATGTTGTAGGGACGGAAGAAGCCAAACCCTCCACCCAGCCACGGCCTCCCCCGACTCCACTCAGTCTGGGTGTAAGCATCTGGCCCAGCGGCCGAGGCGACTTTCCAGGGAGCCCTGCTGGGGAGCTAGCTACTGTTGTGGCCATTGGCTGTCTCACGCTTGCCCAGCAGGCTTCCCGGGATTCCCTGCTGGGAAGGGCCAGGCTCTGGGAAGAGCTTCCTCTCCGAGCCCCAACACGGCTAGGGAAGTCAGGAACATGGCCACACCCCCTGACGGCAGCGGGCCGGGCTGGCAGTGCCGGGAGAGCTCACCCACTCTCCAGCAGAGTCCTGGGCACTGGGCACATGGCGAGAACTTGCCATTGATAAAGGCTGATGACAATCATCTCTCCTGCCACCCAGACTCCACTCTCCTTGAATACCCGTATATCTAGTGTCCCTCACAGAGTCACAGCGACCCTCGGGAACCCTGGTTCTCCTGGGACAGAGGCTTGGGATCTAGACCAAATGGAAGGCCAGGCCGTTTCAGTAGCGGGTGGGAGGGGAATTCTGACCTTCAACCAGCCCCACTGCCAGGGCCCTCGTGTGCAGTGGGGGATTCCGTAACTTCCTCTCCGCACTGGCAGCTATGGACTGGAGCTCTAGGGCCACTGGGAGAGAGACAAATCAGCTGGACGCCCACTGTGCAAACCCTGGAATTACAGCAGCTCTAAGGAGGCCTCTGGGAGAGCCCAGAGATGATGCTGCCTCCATGGGCCCAGACCGCACGCAAGCCCCCTGCAGCATGGACGGGTCAGCGGCTCCCCCGGACACGCAGCAGGCTTGGAAAACGTAACTGACCATTACAAAGCTAGCCTCTTCCAGCGAGGGACCAGGGCAAAGATCTCACACGCGCTTCCAAGGGTTGCTGCTGGGTGAGCAGCCCTGCTCCCAGTGCTGCCTGGGGGACAGGAGGAGATGGGGTCTGAAGGTACAGACCTGGCTCAGAGCTAGCAGGGCGGGTTGTGGCCTGGGGCCAGCGCACGAATGTATGAGCACCCAGAGGGTAAATGAGCCATGGCTGGAACAGCAGCTCCCTGTCCTAGAGGCTGGCAGCTGTAAATGAAATAAAGCAACTGACGGGAGCAGGCTGCCTGGGCAGCTCTCACAGCAAGGGTGCCTCGGGAACATGCATTTGTTACAGGGCAACACGCCCTGAGCACCCATCGGAGGCCGGCCCGTGAGAGGTGCTGAGCGCCCCCAGTGGTGGAAGGGAGTGCGGCGGAGCTGGTACAACTGGGCTATTCAGGAGAGTTGGCTGCATCACCTGGCGAGTGCTTACTCGAAAGTGACGTCAGAGAGGCGTGGAGAAGAGCACCGGAGGAGGATGGTGCTCAGCGCAAGGCACTGAGACGGGGGAAGTGCTACCATCAATGACACCTGTGGACAACACTACACTGGGATAGGGCCGAAATAGTGCGGAGGGATTGAGAGGGGTTAGAAACACAAGTAGGAAATAGAGGCCAGTCTGGGCCAGTGCAGTCCAACCCCCGGTGGGGGGACAGGCTAATGCACTGGCAGTGACTGTGGACAGAGGCAGATTTCCAATGTGCTCAGGGTAACATCAAAACCCAGTGCAGGGGCATCGCCGCCCGGGAGCAGGGAGGCGACAGTCTGAAAGTACGGGACACCGGTGAGGCTGCTCTGAGAATACTGGCCTCAGTCGCACCACCAGGCAATCCCAAAGAGCTAAGCAGCCAGGAAAGGGGAGTGAGGAAGGAGGCAAGGTGAAGGATCAACCATCACTGTAAAGTCAGTGACCAGAGCTGTGAGTGGGAGGGCACGAGAGGCATTTCTACAGCGGGGACCCACTCATGTCAACGGGATTCTTTCCGCCGGCTCTGAATCAGGCCCCGTGACAGTAGAGGAGTTCGTGGGCTGGCTAAGGGGGCACTGCAGAGAGTGAAGGCATGAGATGGAGCAAAGGAAAAACAAACTGCGAAATGGTCTCTACGGGGAGAGGTGGAAATTCCATTGCTTGAGTCATCTAGAACTGGGCAGCGCAAAGCCCAGGAGAATGGACCGCAGGGAACAATTCTGCCCTGGGTGCTGGCATGGACTAGCCTTTCCCAGCGTTGGCTGCTAGGGTGTGTTCTCGTGGGACCATCCACTATATGGGCACTGGCCCTGCGGCAGCCCATGCTATATAATGAGGCCTTCAGACCCAAGGGCAATACCAATGCTCCCAAAGAGGGAATTCCCTAGCGAAAACGCAGGGGCAGCTCTTGGGGAGGTACAGGTAACGCTACAGAAAGGCAGTTGATTAGGAATCAAGCATCCGGAAAGATCAGCCTTCGGGAACATTCAAGCAACCGACGCCAGGGCCTGCCTCCCCCTGGGCACACAGCAAAGGAGGGAAGAGTAGCCCCTGCTGCTCCCTGCCCCTCCAGCTCTGCAGCAGATCATCAGCTCATGAGAAGTCAGGGTTGCCCAACCTCTCCCCAGCCACAGGCCATGCTGCCAACGTGCCAGGAGGCTGAGGGCTGAACCTGCATGTGATTGAGGCAGTCGGCATGGCACCAGTGGCATTCATACATGATCTCAGCATGACCATGGCTGTGCTGCCATAATAGAGAGGAGGCCAGCCATCGGAGGCAGTTAGCTAGCAGGACGACCTGCTGTTGCTCTAAGGACTCAGGAAAATCCTGGGCACATACAGGGGTTAGACAAAGACGTGACACCACAGCAGACAGGTCTAGATGGGCTCCAGGACAGAGATCTGACTAGTCACTTCTATTTGCTGGTCCTAGGCCGATCAAACGTGTGTTTCCTAAGCGTCATATGCAGAACAGCATTCACCATTCTACACAGGGGTACCTGAGCACCTTCCAGTAGTGCATCTAGCAACATGACTATGAGCGGTCCCATGTTCGTTCACCCAGCCTGTGCCTGGGGCAGGTGCACCATGGAGGGTCTTGTTTCAGTAGGGCTATTTTGAAGTTCTATGTTGCTCTGTGTGTATGCTGGCGAAGGCAAGGTTAAGAAACATGGCTGGCACGGGAGCAGAAGGTGGGGAGGTTTGTGATGACCCTTAGCTCCTGGGGGAGTTCCAGGACCAGGCCCGAGAAAGTTCTGCCTCCCGCATAGACGAGCTTCAGCCTTGTGGCAGAGAGTTCCACTGTGCCTGAGGAGCAGGGCTGTTGACTGTGACATCTTCATCCCACAATGTTAGTGGATACCCTGGGCATGGACCACTCGAAGATAAGGACTGAAACCGCAAATCGGATTCTTTTTCCTATGGGAAGCCAGTGCAGAGAGCAGGTCTGGTGTGAATCTGCCTCACTGAACCTGCACAAGATGCACTAATTCTTGCTGCTTGTGGGCGGTGTCAGGACATGCTGCTGACCTGCCATTGACATGTAGATGGGGGCAGCACCCGCGGGTCCCCAGTGGGCTCACCATGCTGGATGCTGCCCAAGCACACAGGGAGACACCCTCTCTGCCCAAAGAGCACCCCCCCCCCATGACTGCAGCGAGCAGCCCCACTCCATCCCCTACAGGGCTGACCAACACGTACATACGTGGTGCTAATGAGGAGCAGCAATGCAGATGCTTAATGAAGGGCTTCTCTCAATTCCAGAGGGAGGCAGGGAGAGCTGTTCCCACAATCCCCTGCCGTTCCCAGCAGCGTTTGAAATATTCATGGACGAGGTGGGGAAAAATGCATTAAGCCAACACAATGCTGAGTCCCCAGAGCTCCCCTGGCTCTGAGGGCTTCCATTCACCTTTTGCTCTTGGCCCCTGTGGCCTTTCAAGGCAAGCCTGTAGGCTGGCACCCTCCTTGTCAATAGCGGCACATGGCATTGCAGATTTTCACAGGGCAAAGTTGCAACACAGCCTCTTAATTTGTGCCCACAGATCATAGAGTCATCGAATCATAGAATATCAGGGTTGGAAGGGACCTCAGGAGGTCATCTAGTCCCACCCCCTGCTCAAAGCAGGACCAATCCCCAACTAAATCATCCCAGCCAGGGCTTTGTCAAGCCGGGCCTTAAAAACCTCTAAGGAAGGAGCTTCCACCACCTCCCTCGGTAACCCATGCCCATAACAAACCACACACGTAAAAGGCAGCACTCAGCTATCCACCTGGACGCCTGCCATCAGCAGCGGCGAAACACAATTATTTGTGCTTGCAAAATGAGAGGATATTGCTGAAAATCAGGGCAGCTGCATTACAACAAAGCAAGATTGTGGAGTCCTGGTAGATTCTCAAACTGCCCCTCGATTCTCTAAATAAAGAGCTCACAGGAGTTCTCCTCTAACAAGCCCTGCTTCAAGCCACATATCACCTCACTCACCTGGAGCCGCTAGCCATGTATGTTAAACACAGGCGTGACCCCCAGACCCCTCAGTGGCAAAGGGCACACCATAGCGTGACACATCAGGCCTGACCCACTCATTGCCCAGCACACTGTCGTCATCAACTGTACCTAAAAGGTGGCATGTAAAGTCTCATACACAGACTGGTGACACGCTGGTCCTGATAATCACTGCGCAATGTATGGACAGGCTGCGTACAAAGGGTTAGAGATGGAGGCTGGGAATATGTTCAGAAAGCCCAACTCGCCCTAGACAAAAGGAAGGGGGATTTACTTGTCTGACCAGCTTGATCACAGAGAACAATGAAAGGTACATTCACATAGAAGGTAAACAAAGCGAGCAAGTGGGGGAGAGGACTGCTTAATGATCATGACGGGCTGGAGTCTGCACCCCAAGAAGCCATCCTGGCTCTTGAAACAGAGACAATGGGGTAATAGGAGCCGGGGCAAAGGGACGTTCAAGTCATTCATCTCCTGAGGGAACAAAGAAACCAGTCCTTGGAGTCTGTGAGGGCTGGGTCCTGGCTGGAAAAGCCCGTCACACTGGAGAATGCTGACAACTTGGGGTAAGGAAGAAACAATGTTAGGCAAAGCTACATCTTACTGAATTCAGTTTTAGATCCTAGAAAGAGTGTTCTGTTTTGTTTGTAACCCTTTCGTAGCCAGAAATCACTTCCTTCTAGGGTCTCTGTTAACACACGTATTCGTTTGATTACACGCCATCTCCAGGCTGAGCATGTAACTCCAGCTGAGCTACCAAGCTGGTGTGTGCACTGGCTCTTTGGAGGCAGCGAGCTTGGGATTAGCTCTGTGAGTGTGTGACAAAGCAGGGAGTTTTCTTGTTTCCAACGGTTTGCATGCAGAGGGCGTGGGACTCCATTTCCCTGGGTGTTACTGGTTTAACGAGGTGGTGGGAGAGGGCGTTGTTTGTTACAGAGGGCCAGCAAACGGCCTGGAGAATGGATACCCCAGCGACTGGTGACCTGGTGACTGGGAGGCCCCACTTGGGAGTCACAGCTGGTTCTGGCCAGTGGGAGGACAATGGGCTGTGGAGGGAGGACCCCTGTGACCTGACCAGCTGGTTCCAGCCAGAGGGAAAACAAAGGGCGGATGAGAGGAGAGGCTAAGAGGAGAGGAGACCCAGGCAGCCTGTTTACCTGGGACAGAAGACAAAGGACAGACGCAGGACTTGGGGGGATGGTGATATCAGATGCCCGGCTGGGAGCAGAGAGCAGCCAGAGTCCCCCTCGAGGCTGGAGAGACCTAGATGTGCTGTGCTGAGGGAGGCCAGGCCTGAAGGCCCGGAGAGTTTCCTGTGCTGGGCTCAGATGCTCAATAAACTCTCCTGTTTTACACTGGCTGAGAGTCACTCCAGTCTCAGGATGGGGGTTGCATTATTCCCTCTGGATGTGGTGGCCCGGGGGGCCCATGGCGAGAGACAGGCGTGCTGAAGGCTCAGAGAGGTGGGGTTCCAGGAGGTGGAGGGGCCTACGGCTTAACCCCTGAGAGAGAGTGGACCCCCGAGAAGGGCTGTCGCACTGAAGGGGGTTCCTCCCAGGGACCGTACGGAGCCGAGAGAGAGCACAAGTCCTGTGAGTCCGTGACAGAATGTCCAGTCAGAGGGATGGGCCACTTCAGGGGAGTCAGTTTGGGGGGCACTTGGGACTGGAGGGGCTGTTGGGGTCACCCTGCAAAGAGCGCCCAGGCTGGTGGAAGCCAAGGTGACACCATTGTGCTGTGAGCATGCTGCTGGTGGTGGGGCTCTGAGCCAAAGCTTCCCAGTGCAGATACCCAGGGCTCCAGGGCAGGTGGTGACGCAGCCCCTCACTGGGCTGGGTGAACCCCCAAAGCCTCACAACCAGCCATCAAGGTTATTCGTTCCATGGCAAACGCTTTACCCGCTCTCTGCATTAGATGAGGTCCCAAAAGCTGTTGCTGTATCAGTTCTACAGACAGTTCTGCTGTATCAACATCCCCATCTGCTAACGTGCCACGGGTTTGCCATGGAGCGACTGCTCTGTCAAATAACCTACTATCTGAAGCAGTGAGTTCATGGCTGCCTGGAACACACCACGCTCTGGGAGATTTCCTGCTCAGTTAACGGGCTCGTCTCACAAGGGTCTCAGACCAGAAAGGATCACTAGATTATTTTGCCAGCTGGAGCAATTGTCACACTGCTGGCACATCCCTTCCTCAGTCTCCCCACACTTTTGTTTTCACAAATGGTGAATGGGCGGGTTATGCTTGTGCACTGAGAAGAGAGTACACTGTAGCAAACAGCTACCCCTACACTGCATGTGACCACGTCACGACAGAGGGCACAGAACTCACTGCTTGCCGGCCATCTCAGCTAATGGAGAATCACCACTAGCTGTTGGCAGTGGAGGGCCTATGTCACACAGCTGTTGTTCCGATTGCATCCAGTAGAAGGCAGCGGTGTACTCTCACACATGCCAGGCCATTGCAGTACTCTGAGCACGTGGCCAGTCTGCTGTAGTTTAATTCTAACAGTGGGATGGGAAGGGTTCGGCATGCTGGTGCTCTTTGCTTATTGGGGGCCCATTCCCCTCATGTAAATGGGGGGGTCAGCAATAAGGCTGGGGGGGGCTGGGTTCCGAGCTGCACCTTCCTGCTGGCTAGTCCATGCAATGCTGACTCTTCACCTGTAGGCGAGGAACACTTAGTGGGGCAGGGGGAAGGGTGAGGGAAGGGTACGTGTGTGTGTGTCTCTTTCTCCTCTCACCTGCTTCTTCTTCCCCTCGGACGACAGGACTTTGGTGACCCCGATCCGGTGCAGCATAACATGGACGCGCTGCTCAAAGGAGCTGGGGATCTCCCCGTCACTCTTCTCAAAGTGCCGCCTCTGAAGGGCAAACAGGACAAACCCGGGGGCATGCTCAGGTGGCTCTTTACAGTCACCAGGGCCCCCACCCCCGTCGTGCTGGGCAGCCAGAGGCTGTGCTGCCTGGGGTGGCCCCGTGGCTTTCAGCCGCCTTTGAGCCCTCCCAGGTATGGGCTGCAGAACGGCAGAGCCGTGGGGCCCTGGCTATGCAATGGTATCTTGGCAGGCTGTCCTGCGAGTGGCAGCACTGCCGGGGTTCCCCATGGTGCTGCATGCTGCGGCTCTGCCCCATATGCCATGTCCGCCCCCGACCGCTGCATGGCCTTGTGCCTTGCCCCCTAACCCCCACTGCAGCCTTCTGCAAGGCCTGCTCCAGGGCTCCTCCCCCAGCCAGAACCAGGCCCCTTTATCACACTCAGCCCCTTCCACCTGGGTACAAGGGTCAACGGGAGGGGAACGTACCCCAGGGGGTGAAGCAAGATCTATCCCTCCCCTCACGTTGCCCAGGCTGAGGGCAGGTTTGCCAAGAGACACGCCTACCCCATGGCAGTAACTAATGGCACCAGGCGAGTCTGGCTCAGGACACGGTGTTTGTACATCACTGCTGTGCTACAGCCCCCCTTGGACAGGGTGACCAGACAGCAAGTGTGAAAAATCAGGACAGGGGGTGGGGGGTAACTGGTGCCTATAAGACAAAGCCCCAAACATCGGGACTGTCCCTATAAACCGGGACATCTGGTCACCCTACCCTTGGCGCTCCCTCTGGCGCGTTTGCCTAAGATCAGTTCCCCCACCCAGCTGTATCACAGCAGCTAGTCCCAGTCCTTGGCTGCTTCGGGCTCTTTCTGATCCTCTGTCGCTGGGGATTCCCCCAATCATCCCCCAGGCAGGAACAACCAGGGACATGCGCAGGAGCAGGGAGGGGCCCAACAACAACAGACCCCACGGTGCTGGATTGGTTGGGGCCATCTGTGCCCCCAAAGTCCCCTGCCGCTTCCCCAGGAATGGAGCAGGGAGTCAGCCCCACGTCTACACCCGAGCCCATCTGCAGTGCAGACACCAGCCAGGACTGGCTAGGTCAGGCCAGGACTTGGGGCCTGATCCAAACTAGCCTGGGGTCAATGGGAGTCGTCCCACGGATCCCTGCGAACCCTGGATCACTCTTAGGGTGCCCCTGCTTGGAGACACCAGGCTGGGGGGCCAGGCAGTCTGAGAGCTAGAGAACCGGCCTCCATGAACAGTCCCCTTTATATTCGCTGCAGCCCAGGCCGGTCTCCTCTCTGCCAGGGGGGTACAAACCTCACACATCACAGAGCTTCCAGATTCCCGCTCTCTGCTGCGCTGTTACTGTAGCAAAGCACCTGCTACAGCCGGGATGACCCGGGCCCCTACACTCAGGACACCCCTGAACTGGGGCAAGTGCCAGGAGCACAGGCTCCCGGGGCTAGGAGGGGGCAGTGGGGAAAGAGGGCTGTTACCTTTTCATGTTTCACTCCTAAGGCCTCTTCGTCCTCGCCAGACAGGAGTATGAGTGACTGTGACTTGCCCTCTCGGGAGTACTTGGGCCTGACCCTGTGGGCGGCATCGGGGGTCTGGCTGGGCTCTGCATTGGCCCTGGGCTCCACGGCAAGCCCACCCTCTTCGGATTTGCTCAGCGCCTTCCCAGGCTCCCCTGCCTTACTGGGAGGCTTTGAAATGTCACTGCGCGTGGACTTCCTGCCGTCCGGCTCCTTCTCGCACTTCCAGCCCCTGCTGGACTTCGGCTTCTTCAACGCAAAGAAGTTCCCTATTTTCTTTTTGAAAGTCCGGGTGCCAGACGGCGCGAGGGGGGCTGAGCCAGGAGAGATCCCCCGGGGGGCTGGGCTGGAGCAAGAAGAGGAAGCCAGGAAAAGAGTTAGCACAGGTGCTGATCGGAGACATGAACTGAGAGCAGGTACCAGAACCACTGTGCCCCCAATGCCAAGAACTGCGCCAGGCACCTCTCTGCTGCCAGCCTGCAGCCTGGGGAGTCAGCCCCCAGGGAAGGGGCAGGAGAGGAATGGCTCCACGGCAGAGGGGACTCACCATCCTCTTGGAAAGGCAGTTGGCTCGGTGGTCTCTTGGCTGTTTCCTTATCTTTGAATTCCCCCTGACTGCTGGGATTAGAAAAATCAGTGGGGGAGGCATGGTGGAGCGCAGCCTCGCCCCAGTCCTCGCCCTCGCAGGGTGCCCGGCAGGCAGCAGGATGGGAGGCTCTGGGAAGGGACTGGGAGATGGGGGTTGGCATGGCAGGATCCCCACCTGGGAGATTCATTGCAGACACACGTGGCTGCACATTTCACTGTCTCCCCTCCGGGAGCTTCGGCCGCAGAGGTGCAGCCGCCTCTCACTCTGGACTGTAGCTAGCCAGGCCGGGGTCCTGCGCTCAGCTCCTGTGCTAACCCTGCCCCAGCCCGTCCTGAGCAGCCGGCCCTCAGCCGCTCCCCGGGGCCCCACCGCGCCACAGTCTCACACTAATCAGCCAGGATTTCTGCCCAAGCAATTCAGTAACTGCGGTAAATGAAGAAGTTTCATCCCCAGTAGGTCAGACGGCTTCGAGAGGCGTGGCTAGTCCCAGAACCACCCTGGCTGCTGCTTCCCAGGCCCGGCCTGAGGCAGGGATTAGCAATCCTGACACCACCGTTCCCTCCCCCGGCCTCCTGCGAGGGCAGCGGCTCACCTACGCCACAGGTGCTGCCAGGTTACAGGACAGCTTTCAATCAAGGCGGGGGCAGAGGGAAGTGGAGAACCAGGAGCTGTAACTGACCGTAGCAGCCCTGGGTGGAGATCCAGGCTGCACCAGTGACAGCCCCAGCGTCCTGGCTCAACCTGCCCTGGGACGCATGCTCAGCGGTATCCTCCTCTCCTGGCCGGGAGCACGGAGGGGACTTCCCAAGGCCTCCCACTTGGGCAGGCGTGATGGCAATTTTCCTCCATGGCTGACATGGTCCAAGAGTGTAGAGATGGCCACGCCCCCTAGAGGCCATCAGTAAAGAAGAGTGTGTCTAGGCGGCACGTGGAGGTAGCCCGGGGTGGTCGCACCATGCCAGCTTTACTCCAGCTGGTAGCAGACACAGGACTGGAAAGCTGGCTCTTCCACGTCTTTACATCCCCTCGGGCGCAAGGACCGACAGCTGGTTCTGTAAGAACCGCCAGCTTCCCCCCGGGCACCGCCGCTTTCAGCGCCGCTGTCTGTGATGAGTGCCCGTATCCCAGAAGACATCCTCCTCTCCTTCCTCAGCACAGTCTGCTAGGTACAGCCCCGGCCCTTTAAAATTCCCTCTTCCCTGCAGTAACACTGAGCTCCTGGTGGACAGGTGCTCTCTGCCCCCAGGATGGGGACAGGACAACAGCTGGCTGTGTATGAAAACCTAACTACTGCTACTTACAAGGGCTGGTAAAGCCCCTGGGCAGCCAGGCTGCGTGCGGCTCTCCTTATTACGAATGGGGCGTGCATTTCAGAGCCGGGCTTCTGCCAAGTTCAGGGGATGTCTCGATCAGGGAGCACCTCCGGCTCCCGGTGCGGCAGGCGTGCAAGCAGGATGCACGAGTGGGGGGGGGGGGGGCAGAGCTCAAGACTAGTTTCATCAACAGGGATCACTACCGCTAGCTGGATGGAAAGCTCAGGTGATAAGCTGCAGGGAAACACAAATCAACACAACGGCAGGGAAGAGAGTCCTGCTCAGCAGCAGGCTGCTTGTGGGAGGGGGTAACAGCAAGGGCCAATGAGGAAAAAAGAGCCTGGCGAAGGATAAGAAAGGAGAGCAAAGGAGAGAAAATCGGGCTCAATTTTGACTCCTCCTATGTGGGGGGGAGGAAGGGGGGGCAGAGTTTTGTTTGCGAACACACCTGAGCTAAGCCCTGCACAGGCCATGCTGCGGGTTTCGAAGGTGTGCCCCTAGCGATGCTCAGTGCTTCCTGCCTTCTCAGCCCCAGAGAACAAACCCTCCCGGAGCCTGGCAGCCCCATTGTGGAGGTGGAAACGGATGCCGGGAGTGAGCTGCCCGAGGACACACAGTGAGTCTGGGAGGACGACCCAGACGTTTTGGGCTTCCAGGTCCCAACTGACTGCATTCGCTCACTCTGCCCTTGTACACTGATTTCCTCCCAACGGGCCATGGGCTTGGAAGAGCTAGTTTCAAATCCCAGCGCCCAGCCTGGTGAATCAGCCGACCTCGCCTCACTTCTCAAAGGCCGCATTCTGGCTGGGACCCCAAAGGGAGATGCCGACTAGCTGCAGAGCCCACTACACTCATTGTTAAGTCTAATGGTGTGAACCCCAGTGTCCTGGGCTCATCCCAGTTCAGGGAATTGCATTCTGACATCCTAAATGCCCCCTTGCACTTTCAGTTGGACTTGGTGGGCCCGGTCCTCAGCTGGTATCAGATGGTAGAACGCCACTGAAATCAGACCAGCTAAAGATCTGAACCAGATTCTTACTCAGTCCCTGACCAAAACTGCTGTGTTCCGTTGCTGTGTGCTGTTAAACAGTTGCTGTGTTGCACCCAAGACATGAGTGCATTTCTGCAGTGGGTGACATGATCCCTATAACATCCTGCACCCGACACAGGTGTTGTGAGAATTTGCTAATATGTCCATTCAGAGTCCTAGAGGAACGGTGTTTAAAAGCATTAATGACTATTAATTAGTAGTGACCTGAATTTCAAACCATGCAAGGTAATGTTACCCCAAGAAATGACTGAGGACGATTCCCCAGTTTATGCATCACTAGCTTGTAAGCCAGGCACCTCTTGATGCTAACTGGCACGTGGCCTAAAGGTTACAGGAATCCCCTGGGCTTGGTATGCACATTCTAGTTCACAAAATGCCACGTGAGGGCTCTGAAAGCCAGGGTCACACTAGTCATCGATACTGTTGCGAAATGCACGTATAGCTGTCGTGTAAGGAGTTGTGTATAGACACTGACAATTCCATTCTTACAGCCTGCATCTAGGGACTGGTCACTGGCAAAGGTGAAAAGCAGGTTTGTTGTCAGACAAGAGCTGTTTGTCCATCTATCTGTTTACATGTAAATTGAGCATTGTCTGGTTCACAAGGAGCAGCCACTGGCATTCTAAGCTAATAAAGAGCAGAGGGGACTTTATAAGGAAAGTAGCAGGAAGAGATAGACAGTGGGGCAGGATGGGGGAGAGGAACCCTGTATTGATGTAAATATCAAAGGCTTGTTTTGGCCTATTTTGGGGGGGCAAAGAGGACACCCTGGAAGGGGATCCTTCACCGAGGAAGTGAACGGGCAGGAAGTTTGCTTCATGAAAAGGGATCCCAGCCAGGCTTGGTTGAAAACACTGGAGAAATCTTTGGGTGAGACAAGCTTCTTTAGACAGGAGGAGAACTTGTGAGCTAAGTTTGGTCTCTAGAAAGTGTGTTATTGATTTTATTTGTAACCGTTTCCAATATTCTTATTCACACTCACTTGAATCTCTTTGATAATAAACTGATTCTTGTTTTCACTATAACTAGATCAAAGAGCTGTGTGTTTAGCTAAGGAGGTCCCTCGTCCAGTTTTGGCCTGGACAGACCTCTGTTGGGGTTGTTTTTCCCCCGTCTGGTACTGGGACAAACCAGATGTGGCTTTGTCTGGTAGCAGACGGAGGATGCCCTTTATAAGAGCACGCCGCTTCGCCCCCTCCGTGACCCCAATTCTCCAGTGTTCTGGGAACATAGGAGTGGCCACCTTATGTTTAGCAGAGCTGTGTTCTAAGGTGTAACTATTGGAACGGCAGGTGATTCTGTGTGTGGTCAGTGGATCAGGGACTGGAGGACTGGAGGCTGAGGCCTCGTGGGTTGGTACGTGTGTATCACAGCCTGTACACAGACAGCAAGGCCCGCGGACGCCCAGAAGGCAGGGCTGGTGTTGCCAGAGAGCTGACCCCCAGCGGGCACAGCACAGTGGGAAGCGGCACAGTAGCAGCGACAGTACTGAATACACCTCGTTTACTTACGGCGGTTCCTCTTGGATCAGCTTCTTGGTAAAGAACTCCTCTAGCCCTTCATCCACGCAAGTAATGCTTCTGTCCTCGTCATTCTCAGACGGGGCGGGCTGGACCTACGAGCAAGCGCCACAGTCAGAAGAGCGCAGTGCTGCAGAAGCAGGGAAAAGAGGAGGCGAGAGGCGGGGGAAAGCTGAATTCAAGGGGAGCGATCCCAGGAGAAAGTGACAAATCACTCCCGGACGTTCCTACTGATGCAGCTGCTTTTTAATTGCACACGCACATACACCTGTGTATACATTTGCTGTTGAATAATAATAAAATAGCAGTAACAGCAACACCCCCTAGCTCTTACCTAGCCCTCGTCATCAGCAGATCTCAAAGCTCTTTATAAAGGAGGGCAACATTATCCCTGTTTCACAGAGGGGGAAACTGAGGTCCAGAGACTTGCCCAAGGTCTCTCAGCAGGCCAGTGGCAGAGCCGGGAATATAACCCTGGTCTCCTGAATCCCAGGACAGCGCTCTATCCACTAGCACACTGGTTCTCAGCCAGGGCTGTGTGTACTGCTGGGGGGTACATCAGCTCATCTAGAGATTTGCCTAGTTTGTCAACAGGCGATATAAAAAGCACTAGCGAAGTCAGTTCAAACTAAAATGTCATACAGACAATGGCGTGTTTCTACTGCTCTATAGACTATACACTGACATGTAAGTACAATCGTTCTATTCCAATGGATTTATTTTTGCATGATATGGTAACAAGGAGAAAGTCAGCGATTTGTCAGTACTATTGTGCTGTGACACTTCTGTATTTTTATGTCTGATTTTGGAATCACGTCGTTTTTAAGTGAGGTAAAACTTGGGGTACACAAGACAAATCAGCCTCCTGAAAGGAGTACGGTGGTCTGGAAAGGTCGAGAGCCCCTGCACTAGCTCACATGGCCTCCCTTCAGTGCCACATGGCCGTGCATCAGAAGGGACATAAAACCCCCCACTCCAGAATAAGATCCCAAGCCAAGCGCTGCTTCCAGCATCGAAACGGTTTCTCCCGTTACAGAGCGCACAGCTGCAGGCCTGACAGTCACTTCAAACCCTCCACAGCACCTCCCGGCTGTTCTCAAACAACCCTGCCTGCAGGCTCAGAGACATACACCCAGCCTGGCCAGGCTGGGGCGATGTCTAGCTGCCATGGTGTACTTTGCATCAGCGTGTTTTCTTCTGCGCCTTTCCAAGAGCTTGTGCTTGAAGCCAAAGCCTGTGTTGTGTCAAAGCTTCCCCTGCCATTTTTCTGCAGCGTTTCCAGCTGCTCGGCACTAGGTCTGAAAATTGCCCATGTGGTGCTTTTAGAACTTGGCTGCCCGTTAGCTCATGCTTGGTGACGTTACCAATTAGAGATTGCACCCGGTTCCAGGGTGATGGCCAAGAGCAGCCCAGTCTTCCTCTTCCCAGCAACAGTCTTGGGGCACGTGTCCCAAGTGCCACATTTCAATGCTTTCCCCTGGACAGCAGGAGCCCGCGTGTTTCATTTCACTTTCGATTTAATGGAAAAGCTCCAGGACGAGGGCCCAGGTTTTAACACCCTACGAAAACACCCCACCGAATACAGATTGCGAATATGGCGAAAATTCTAGGCCAAAACTGGGTGACGTCAGAGCTGTGAGGAGTCAGATCATTCGTAGGCCTTACTGTCTCCAATTTCTGGTCAGCGAACCCATCCATCTCACACTCTGAGTACTTGCCCTGGTTCTGGATTGCTCTCCTCAGATCATTTGCCAGTGTTTTGCCCCGAAACGTCCTACACAGCTGGGGTTGGAGCAAGAAATGTCATCATTTCCTTTAGGAGACTATTCCACGGGCTATGGGTCTAGGTGCTATGAGTCTTGGCTAGTTATCTTAGGTGCATGTACACAAACGCAAGAAGCGTGGGAAACAAGCAGGAAGAATTGGAAGTCCTGGCACAGTCAAGGAACTATGATGTGATTTGAATAACAGAAACTTGGTGGGGCAGTTCACATGACTGGAGCACTGTCATGGGTGGGTATAAACTATTCAAGGACTGGTACGGGAGGAAAGGTGGAGGAGTTGCATTGTATGTAAGAGAACAGTATGATTGCTCAAAGCTCCAGTTTGAAACTAGAGAAAAGCCTGTTGAGAGTCTTTGGGTTAAGTTTAGAGGCAAGAGCAACAAGGGTGATGTCGTGGTGGGCGTGTGCTATAGACCACTGGATCAGAAGGTTGAGGTAGACGAGGCTTTCTTCGGACAACTAACTGAAGTTTCCAGATCACAGGCCCCTGGTTCTAATGGGGGACTTCAATGACCCTGACATCTGCTGGGAGAGCATTCCAGCAGTGCACAGACAATCCAGGAAGTTTTTGGAGAGTGTTGGGGACAAATTCCTGGTACAAGGGCTGGAGGAACCAACTAGGGGCCATGCTCCTCTTGATTTGCTGCTTACAAACAGGGAGGAATTGGTAGGGGAAGTAGAAGTGGGTGGCAACCTAGGCAGCAGTGACCATGAGATGGTTGAGTTCAGGATCCTCACAAAAGGAAGAAAGGAGAGTAGCAAAATATGGACCCTGTACTTCAGAAAAGCAGACTTAGACTCCATTACGGAACTGATGGGCAGGAGCCCCTGGGAGGCTAATATGAGGGGAAAGGAGTCCAGGAGAGCTGGCTGTATTTTAAAGAAGCCTTTCTGAGGGCACAGGAACAAACCATCCCGAAGTGCAGAAAGAATAGCAAATATGGCAGACGACCAGCTTGGCTTAACAGTGAAATCTTCGGTGAGCTTAAACTCAAAAAGGAAGCGTACGAGAAGTGGAAATTTGGACAGATGACTAGGGAGGAGTATAAAAATATTGCTAGAGCTTGCAGGGGTGTAATCAGGAAGCCCAAGGCACAATTGGACTTGCAGCTAGCAAGGGATGTGAAGGGTAACAAGAAGGGTTTCTACAGGTATGTTAGCAACAGGGCCGGCTCCAGGCACCAGCTTCTCAAGCAGGTGCTTGGGGCGGCCGTTCCGGACAGGGGCGGCAGTTCCAGGTATTCGGCGGCAATTCGGCGGACGGTCCCTCACTCCGCCTGGGAGTGAAGGACCTCCCGCCGAATTGCCGCCGCAGATCGCAATCGCGGCTTTTTTTAGATCGCGATCGCGGCTTTTTTTTGTTTGTTTTTGTTTTAGCTGCTTGGGGCGGCCAAAACCCTGGAGCCGGCCCTGCTTAGCAACAAGAAGAAGCTCAGAGAAAGTGTGGGCCCCTTACTGAATGGGGGAGGCAACATAGTGACAGATGATGTGGAAAAAGCTGAAGTACTCAATGCTTTTTTTGGCCTTGGTCTTCACTGACAAGGTCAGCTCCCACCCTGCTGCACTGGGCAACACAGTATGGGGAGTAGGTGAGCAGCCCTCAGTGGTGAAAGAACAGGTTAAGGACTATTTAGAAAAGCTGGACATGCACTAGTCCATGGGTCCAGATCTACTGCATCCAAGGGTGCTGAGGGAATTGGCTGATGTGACTGCAGAGCCATTGGCCATTATCTTTGAAAATTCGTGGCAATCAGGGGAGGTCCCGGATGATTGGAAAAAAGCAAATGTAGTGCCCATATTTAAAAAAGGGAAGAAAGAGAACCGGGGGAACGACAGACCGGTCAGCCTCACTTCAGTCCCCGGCAAAATCATGAAGCAGGTCCTCAAGGAATCCATTTTGAAGCACTTGGAGGAGAGGAAGGAGATCACGAACAGTCAACATGGATTCACCAGGGGCAAGTCATGCCTGACCAACCTGATTGCCTTCTATGATGAGATAACTGGCTGTGGATATGGGGAAAGCGGTGGATGTGATACATCTTGACTTTAGCAAAGCTTTTGATATGGTCTCCCACAGTATTCTTGCCAGCAAGTTAAAGAAGTATGGGCTGGATGAATGGACTACAAGGGGGATAGAAAGCTGGCTAGATCGTCAGGCTCAACAGGTAGTGATCAATGGCTCGATGTCTAGTTGGCAGCCGGTATCAAGCAGAGTGCCCCAGGGGTCGGTCCTGGGGCCGGTTTTGTTCAACATCTTCATTAATGTCTGGATGATGGGATTAATTGCACCCTCAGCAAGTTCGTGGATGACACTAAACTGGGGGGAGAGGTAGATAAGCTGGAGGGTAGGGATAGGGTCCAGAGTGACCTAGACAAATTGGAGGATTGGGCCAAAAGAAATCTGATGAGGTTCAACAAGGACAAGTGCAGAGTCCTGCACTTAGGACGGAAGAATCCCATGCACCGCTACAGGCTGGGGACCGACTGGCTAAGCAGCAGTTCTGCAGAAAAGGACCTGGGGATTACAGTGGACGAGAAGCTGGATATGAGTCAGCAGTGTGCCCTTGTTGGCAAGAAGGCCAACGGCATATTGGGCTGTATTAGGAGGAGCATTGCCAGCAGATCTAGGGAAGTGATTATTCCCCTCCACTCGGCACTGGTGAGGCCTCATCTGGAGTACTGTGTCCAGTTTTGGGCCCCACACTACAAGAAGGATGTGGACAAATTGGAGAGAGTCCAGCGGAGGGCAACGAAAATAATTAGGGGGCTGGGACACATGACTTATGAGGAGAGGCTGAGGGAACTGGGGTTATTTAGTCTACAGAAGAGAAGAGTGAGGGGGGATTTGATAGCTGCTTTCAACTACCTGAAGGGGGGTTGCAAAGGGGATGGAGCTCGGCTGTTCTCTGTGGTGGCAGATGACCAAACAAGAAGCAATGGTCTCAAGTTGCAGTGGGGGAGGTCTAGGTTGGATATTAGGAAACACTGTTTCACTAGGAGGGTGCTGAAGCACTGGAATGGGTTACCTAGGGAGGTGGTGGAATCTCCATCCTTAGAGGTTTTTAACGTCAGGCTTGACAAAGCCCTGGCTGGGATGATTTAGTTGGGGATTGGTCCTGCTTTGAGCAGGGGGGTGGACTAGATGACCTCCTGAGGTCCCTTCCAACCCTGATATTCTATGATTCTATGATCCTGCCCCCTGGAAACACCACCACTCCTGTGTGTGGGAGCAGGCCCCTGCTGGCCGGCTGCTAGCCCAGATCTCCTGCCCAAGGTTCTTCACCCCCTCACCTCCTCAGTGTCCCTTTCAC